AGCACTTAAGATATTCATTGCTATCGGGATGTTAAGAGCATTCCATGGAATATAACAAAAAGTGTATCTCGAGCCGGTTTCTCAAACGTACCTACCCCACCTTTAAATGAGATGTTAGGAATCAAACGTTGTTAAAATACAGGTACATAAATAAAATGAAATCATGCAAATGTCAAGAAAAAAAACTAAGTGAAAAGACATGGCACAAGTTACAAAGTGAGAATTCTAAAAAAGCTTTGTTCATTAAGGGACTATGCAGGGAAGGTGTCCAAAGCCCTGGGGATGTGACTGCATTAACGTGCTTATATTTAATATTGAAGATAATTATGTTTTTTCACCCAGCTGGATACTTACCAAAATGTAAGAAGTCACATAGGCCAATTAAATAGTTTGTGCGATGTTCTAAAAGGCAGTTGATACTCCTGGAAGGTACAGTATGATACACCACTGTGTGTTTTTGTTATCAAACTTTATAGCAATTGTATGCAGGCTCTGGTCGTCTTGTCTTGCTGCTGTGTAATGAAGCAGCGCCTGAGAATACCCATGCGATTCATCACAAGTTGTCCACAGAGAACCAGTTGTAATTGCAGAAAAAAAGGTTAATCTTCTGCAATAATGCATCATTATTGTGCTGTCCTATCTCTCGTTGAGCAAATGGACTGTGCTCTCTTGGTAGACTGAAACCCTGGATGACGAAGTAGGGTGAGGAGGAATAAAGAATGCAAAACGGGAGGCTAGGGAGGACAAAATAACCTATCTGCTCTCGCTCTCGTTTATTCGCTTTATCTGTGTTAACATGTGGACACAGCAGAATGGCTGTAAAAGCTGGCGTGGCAAGGCAGACGACCCGGCGATGCCAGGGGCCACAAAAGAGACGGCACTGTCTGCTGAACGTGGAACCAGAACAACAATAGTGCCTCTGCAGTACGGATGAAGCCAGGCTGCCCCGTGCCAGTGTGTCACTGGCTCTTTGAGAGTTAGTGTGTCTCTGCCAACCTGGACCAGAGTGGCACAGCTTCTCCCAGCACTGTTCATTGTCCTCTCACGTCAATGTCTAACTTATTGTGTACACTTTACCTAGCCTGGGCCAGGGTCTTTTTCTCTCTGCTGATACTGATTGCGATAGGTGTTTGTCTTTAAATGTTGTATTTGTGCATCCGTCTGTGGTTCAGATCAGACGCAGTGTGATTTACACTCTGCCCTTTGCTCCTGCTGTTGTTCCCTGGAGGTCTGTTGCTGCAGAGATAGCGCAGGAGCAACCTGTCGTAAAGATGGGCCTACATGACATGGCCGCTTGCAAACACACTTACACATACAGGCTTGTACATGAACGCAAGCCTAACCCAACCTTTGACCATTATACTGGCAGCACACTGAGTTCTGTACTTTCTGCCCACACCCAGGAAGAAGCTCTTCATAACCTAAGGGCTCTTGTATTGAGAATCTACAACACATGAATAACCTTGCTTGGAATTTTCCTGATAAGCCATACTGGTTTCCGCATGTTTGCCAATGCTGCTCATGATTAACAAAAGTTAATGGTTTATACTTGTTCGCAGGAATGCTTCAACTGCTAAATGACTTTTTTATATATAATTGAACCTCCTTGAACATTGGAAGAAGACTCCAAAAGCGGAGAAAAGTCTTTATAAATTGAAAATTATCCACTGTGTTAAACACAATTCATGCAATATATTTTGTGTGTTGGTGTACATTTTCAATCAACGTCTGTTTATCGAGTCGTCTGCTCACTAAATGCACATGCATTTGTGCGGTTCAAGACAATTTGCATACACAGCCTCACGAATTTGCGGGGATGCAACTCGTCCAGACTTGTGTGATGTTTTCCTTTTACGGGTGTGTCTTTGCATTTTGTGTGTGTGTGTGTGTATATATGTGTATATGTGTGTGTATATGTGTGTGTGAGAGAATGTACATTTTGGGGGATTTTCATATATAATAGGAAAAACATAAATGGAGATTGGGTGTGTCCCATGCTGTCGTTTTGGCATAGGAACACTTTTTGCCAGGCTTGTCCAAAAAGGCCCATCGATTCACAGCCTGACACTGTTGCTCACGCAGGAAGGGGCAAAGACAAGCCGAATCATGCCCAGGGCTGTGATGCTAACATCTTCTGCCTTGAGTCAAATTCAACAAGGGGCTGGGAGGCTGTTATTGAAGAGAGACAGACGGAAGGCACAGACAGGGTGATGAAAGACGCTTAGCTGGATGGGTGAGCGATGATGAGAGGGGAGAGGCACATGGCTCCAATCACTGCTCCTTTCTCTACCACTCTTTATCTGTCTATATCTGTCCAACTATTTCCACCCCACACTTATTTTCTCCCTTTCTCATTTGCTCACTGTCTGTCTTCTTCAGTGTTTCTCTTTCTCTCCCCTTTATCATACAGTATGACTTGTTTATGAGATTTATTCAATTTTAGCTCCTCGTGCTTTTTTTCTTCCTGTGGATGGGCTTGTGTCTGAGCCTGGAGTGTGAGATTGCTTCGGTTTGCTGATTACCTCCAAAGTAGTTGTACATCTTCTTGATTTCTTCCCTCTGAGAAAACATGCCACACTTTTAGACTTTCAACTGAAACTGTCCTGTGTTGTTATGGGTGGGTGGGGCTGGAGGGAACGTAGAGGTGGGAGATGTATTTCTGTTTTTAGGGGTGACTTGAGTTTAAAGGGTGGGGTGGGGAAGTGTGAGTGTTGTATATGGATGAAATTAAGCGCTTCCAATAACTTCAGTGGCTTACATTATAATGGGTGTGTGTGCATAGTGACTCTGAACACGTGCAAAGCAGTCTGCGGCCTGTGTTTTGTCGACAGCATTTGCATGGTGACACCGAAACCAACCATTCTACTGTAGGGTTTCACTCAACCTCCTTTCAGGAACAAAAATATGTTGATAGACAGACTTCTGCTATTTTGAGCTTTATTTCAGTCCCTCTCATCGTTGTTGAGATCTCACGTTGATGGTACGCTTCACAAACGGTGTGAAGGAGACTCTCCTGCATCTGTATTTCAATGAGAACTGACACAGGAGCTGCGCTGTGAAAAGGAGCTGGGTCAGGCGGATGTCTGGTTCTCAGTGTTGTTGTGCCTGGGACAAAGAGAATAGACAGCAACCTGAGACCCACAGGCCTGTTTGTTTCACATTATCACATTTCAGCAGCCAGGAGGGACTAGACCTAAGCATCATGGGAGAGTGGCATTTTTAGCTGGGAGACGTTCGTGTTCTTCTTTATAACCAGATTGTTATGGTTCATAGAAATCTCAGACACATATATAGAATGAGTTATTGTTTGCATGTAAATCACCTAAAATCAAATAAGGTAGGAACTTTTTTCCCTATAAATTCAGGCTTGGTATGAAGATGCTTTTGAGGAAAGTTTTGTCCTGGCCTGTAAGGACATTCCTCTACATGAGACTTCCTGTTCACCTCTGCTTGTTTTTGAAAAATAAATAAAACTCATTGGCAGAAGTTAATGATTGTCTCCGAACTCTGGGACTCAAGCAGTTAGACTTAATGATGTATTGCTCAATATTTGTTTTATCAGAGGATACAGAGTGTTCCCTCGGAAAAAAACTAATATTGACATCTCCGCTATGTGGACATTTCTGATGTTTGATTTGGGTAAGCACTCCCCTTTTCATATCAGCTTTCTCTCCAGATGAGATCACTAAATGCTCACATTGCTGCCACATGTGATCATACATCTCTGTCTCCCGCTTGAAGTTGATCCGCTGGTTAAATCTCCTCACCGTGCCGTCATACCCTCCCATATGTGGTGTCATGTTGAGCTGTTCTGTGTGATGTTGTTGCCACATCAGAGTTTGCTGTTTGGTGTCTAAACAGCGGAGAAGTAATGGTGGTGCGGGGCAGCCAGGTCAGCGGGGGGGGGGCTTTGTTAAGAAAAGCATGGAATTCTTCCGGCTGGCAGATGAAGTCAGTGCATTCCTTCAAAGCAGCTCCCTATAGGCGGCCAGTGGAGCAGAGCCAGACGCTGAATGAGGGGCACGATAATGGTGGGGCTCGGCATTAAACACCTCCCATTGAGAACCGGAGGGACTGGCAGAAAGAGAGCACCATCTGTCTGACTCTGGGTGAAGAGTTGTCTTCTAACCACCTAGGCTACAAAGTTTCATTCACTGTGCCAAGTGCTATAGATAATCCTACCACCGCTCCAGGCAATTCACTTTTTATGAGCACTGCAGTATTTTATTTCCTTGTTTTGAAGCTAAAAGTACAGACAGACAGACAGACGTAGTACCGAACATAACATTCATTTAGGTTGAATCTGCTTCACAGACATGTTAAGATACCTGCTGATCTGCGCCCTGAAGTCTAATGAGATCCAGTTCTGGTCCTGCTGAGGGGGTTCAAACTGAGGGACACACTCTCTTGCTATGTTTTTATGTATTTCTACCGCACAAACACCCTCTCCCAAACATGGACACACTTGAGTTGCTCCACTTTCCCTGTCCGTTCCCCTCGGCAGTAAGCTATCATAACGGCTTTGAAGGAGGGCAGCAGAGCGTTTAATTGGGTTACAGATTGGCATTTATGCTTCCAGGTCCACGAGATACTGCAGCGGCTCTTAACTAACCACCAGGAACTGAACAAAAATGCAACGCTGCTCTGCCCATTGACTGCTGGTGTTGAAATGTACAATTCAATCATACCCTCGAGCGGCAAAGTACATTTTCTACGTCATCATTGTTTAGTGTAGAAACTAGTATTTCAACAACATCTTACAAGTGAGGGTGGCTGCTGGGTATGTGACAACTTCTAGTGTGTTGTGTTTTGGTTAGCAACAAGTTGTCACATGTTGGGGTAAGATAATATCATGATCAGTGAAGACTCTAGAAATCAGTGTGAGGCTTTCTTCTGTCTATTGTTTCTACTGTCAGCAAATTCTGCTCCAACCACTGGAAATATTGCATTTCTAATATCAATCCTCTCAACACACATTTCTCTTTGTTCTTGTTTTTCAGAATCAGTGCCATGCAGTGTTAATTTAACAAAAAGCCAATCTGAGGAAATCTGTCCTGAAGACCTTTTAACCTTTCACCCCGTCAGTGTCCTGAGATGGAGCTCAAAGTGTGGGTGGACGGAGTGGTGCGGGTCGTGTGCGGCCTGTCGGAGGAGACGTCCTGCCAGGATGTGGTCATCGCTCTGGCCCAGGCCATCGGTGAGTCCCTCAAATTCTTAAGTGTGGTGAGATCATGGGGTTGTCATGTTGTGATACCAGCATCCAAGCTGTTTTTACTGGGCACCTTGTTTGTCTGCTTGAGCACTTTATCTTACGGCCCTTAAGTGATTAGATAACAGGTGATGTGGGCAAAACAAAGAGTACTTGTTCATTAACATTTTTGCAGCATTTCAGTTTCTGCTCTCACCTTTTTCATTCACCCCTAACTTAAATTGAGTATTATGTCAGATTGCTATATCCTCCGGCTTTATTCGAGCTTCACGCTGCAGCAGTGTTGAACAACATAAATCCAGATTTAGCAGTCTCCTCCTTCCATGAGTGAGCTTGCTGCCGAGTCATCTGGGAGGGCTTGTCCTAATTTCAAGGTCCTTGTGGAAACTTCAGATTATTTGAACATTTTGTACGTGCTGTGCAAGTCTGGCACAGCAGCCTTTACTCCAATCCTCGGAGGCAGAGATTTAAAGGCATCAGCATCACCATTATGCTGCTGATGTCATTTGCTCACTTGGTGCTACTTGCGTCGAAGCAGTGGGAGGAATCAGACCAAATTGTACTGAAGGAAAAGAAAGGTCTTGAATGATTTATGTAACAGAACTATTTATTAATATAAGTGAGTGTCTTTCAGCTAAGTATAGTAATCTTTAAGGGCAATTTAGATTTTTTAAATGTTATTGCAGTATGTCTGTGTATTAAATATGGACTCACTCTCTGTCTCTCTCCCTCACAGGTCAAACAGGCCGTTATGTTCTGATCCAGCGTCTCAGGGATACCGAGAGGCAGCTGTTGGCCACAGAGAAGCCTCTGGAGTCTCTGGCTAAGTTAGGCCAACATGGCAGTGAAGTTCAGTTCTTCCTGCGCCGTACTGGTCCCAGCAGCAGTGACGGACCTAACCCAAAACAGGACAGACCAACTCCCCCTCCCCTGCCCAGGCATCCTGAGCCGGAGCCTTTGAAACGCAGCCAGCCTAAGAAGGCCCTCACCTTTAACTTGGGGCCTTCTACCTCTCCTAGATCCAAAGCCAAACAGTTTAAGAGATCTCCTCAGGACTCTCCAGAGCAAAGAGCCTCTCCCTCCCCTTCTCCCAGCCCTGTACCGTCTCATGTGCCATCTCCATCTCCATCTCCAACACCACCTATAGGCCCATCCAAAGAGGAGGTGTTTAGGAAGGTTCTTCAGCAGCAGGAGAGAATGAGGGCTATGGAGGCCCAGCTAGAAGCCCTAGAGAGGGAGTCGCACTCCTGGGATCGTCCCTACCCATCGCCGTGTCCTTCACCTGTTTCTGACGCTCGCTTGCAAGAAGAGATGGACACCATGGAGCAAGCGCTGCGGAGGAACCAGGCCGAGCTCGCCCACGAGCAGTTCTGGGAGGAGGAGCTTCAGGCGGAGATGGAGCGAGAGCGAGGAATGAGGAGGAAGGTCGGGGAGCTCCACGCCAAGCTAGACGACTGCGGACGGCGGCTCCACGAGTTCTCCGTGCGCTCTGTTCAGCTGGAGCAAGAGATCCAGCGGGAGAGCCAGGCGGAAGGGAAAGCCAACGGGCCGGAGGAATCCCTCGATGTCGTGAAGGCAGAAATCCAGAGTCGGGGGAATCAAGGGACAGAGCTGGAGGGGAGGCTATCTGAGACTGAGAAGGCTCTGGGGAAGGCAGAGTCTCTGATGCAGGTAAGGAGAGAGGTGACGGTTCTTGAGAAAGGGCTTTAAATCCAATCAGCCCGTGTGTAGTCATTTGAGGGGTGTAGCGTAGACCCTCTTCTAGCTTTAGTGTAAAGCTGTATCCCTCTCCTACCTGCATACTGCAACACACAAACAACAGTGCAGAGACACTTGAACACATGATTTATCGTGACAGTTTTTATATATAATAAATTATCCTACAAATGACGATGACTGAATGAATGCTGTACACTCATATCCTGCCTTGTATCAAAATGTTTTATTCTCGAAAGGACAAATTACAGTGTAGCCGAACTGGTTTGGCAGGTATTATCTTGTATGCATGTTCTGAACACATGGTTACTAATGGTGTTAATATTACATTGCCAGTATCTATATATTCTTGTATCCTGTGTAAAAAGAGATTAAAGAGGATTGATTTGTAGAACAAAAGCCCCTTTATTGGATCTACTCGGCCTCAATTCATGGTAGTTTTATCGTGTCATGTCTGTTTACTTTTGGTGGTTGTCATAGATGCGACTGAATCAATAAAAGCCTAACCCAGTTAGGAACAAACTCAAGTTTCCTCATAATCCACATGAAACAAAGACTCGGGTGTCCACTTCATGAAGCTCATTCAGATTATAGTGAAGAATACATTTTTTTTAAAATTGGTGGTATGGTGGATTGGGTTTTGAATGTTCTGCCACAAGGAAATAGAGCACACTGAAAACATGTGTAGTGTAGTGTTTCCATATCTTGATTAGCAAAGACCAGCCGGACTGAAATACCTTTGTGTCCCATCCTCAATCCACTGGGCTACAAGTAATAACTGGCTACAAAACTGATTAAAACATAATGATAATCTTATTTGCAGTCATACTCCTGGGGATGTGTGTGACTCTAGGGGTGAACTCAACAGATTAAGTCCCCGGTTGATGGAACAGAGAGGCATTGTGTCATGATCAATTTGTCAATTACATAGAAAGTATCCTGCTGCAGAACAGAGGTATTAGGCTTTTGTTTTTTCATACATACCGGTATTATGTACCGCCATGTCATAATAGCACTGCAATGTTGTTAAATCCGAATGTAACCACAGAGGCATTTAGCCACCCATGCAGTTCTTGCCTTGAAGAAATAAGATGAAATGATTTCCTGTAAATGACATGACATTACGGTAAAATAATACAGCATAATTCCATAGTAAGGAGAAGGTGTGCATGTCTGGCTGTGTCAGTCATCAGTGAGCTGATTGGTCCAGGCTGCCAGCCGAGTGTTTAAGTGTTGGTGGTGATGAGCACAGCGTTCCTGTCATTAAGCTAATGGTGGGCAGACCTGCAGGTGTGAACTGCCTCAGCAGGCGGCCTCAGTCCAACATCAATTACTCCTTCACACACAAGCACACACTGGGGTAAGGGACTATAGCATATTCCTGCTGCTGCTTCCTGTACTGGGTGCAGACACATTGATTAAGCACAAATGGAAAGTCGATTAAGAACCAATTGACCGGCCTGCATGCGTGCATCACAGTTTAATGTGTGGGCACAGAGGTGATGCCACAGTCTTGATTGAGCATCTCTGAGCTCCACGTTGTCAATAATTGGAGCTGATGAATATCTTGGCTCCTGCGGCATCTGGTCGATTATGAAAACTCTGAAATGCAGCAGGCGAAAGAGCATTGTTACGTATCCGTCTATAAGTGTAGGCCTCAGGCGGCTGAAATCTGATGGAATCAGAAAATAATGCTTACGGTAATTCTGGGACTTTGATGATTTGTTGGATCTATATTGTATGATGATAGTCTGTTTCAATGACTGGGGACTAGACTTGTAGACTCTACTGCCCCCTTATGGTAAAAAAGTAACTTGACACTTACAGGAGAGGTTATGTGACTTAAAGGCAAAATACAGGATTCCTGCCTTTATGTATTAATACATCCTACTTTTTGTTTTTTACAAATAAGACAATTAAGCAACATTTAAAACACAAGGAGAGCTAGGAGTTCAATGTCATGCAAAACGTACTTATATCTACTGATTGACAGGCCTGTTAAGCTCATTCCATTTCCATATGCTGCGTCCAGTTACAGGCAAACAGGGTGACAGTGTTCGCTGGGTCAATACTGAGTGATGTGAGCTCTCAATTGTCCTTTGTTTTCGTCACCGATCCATTTCCCTTTCTATCTCAGGCCAAACAGGAGGAGCTGGAGGAGTTGAATAAGGAGCTGAGGCAGTGTAACCTGCAGCAGTTCATTCAACAGACAGGTGTGCTGCCAGCGCATGCACACTCACGCACAGAGCTTCAGGAGCAACTGGAGCAGTTAGAACTGGCACATCTTCTGCACGATGGATACAGGAACGGAAGTATGGAAACAAATTACATTTCAACATTATATACTCTGCTAGATGATGTGCCCTCTAAACACATTTCTGTCTCTCCACCAGGCTACGACGTAACTCAACTGGAATCGCCGCCTCGCCCCACTGCCAAACAATTCCTGGGACATCCACGCAACCTGCAAAATCCTTTAGTGTCCAGTCTCAACCCTGAGGGTGTGTATGTGTGAGACCCTCCATCCCGCTCTGCTCCTCTCCTGCCCGTCCCCTGGTCCCTGAGCCCCTTGCCCCCCACTCTTTCTACCCCAGCTTGTTTGGGTGTAAGGCTTCATCTGCCGGTTTTGGGTGATGGAAGCATCTGTTTGGTGGAGGTCGCTGCTAATTATTTTGCCTCTTCCCTGTGCTCTACCTTTATAAAGACTAAAATACTTCTTCTCTGCCACTAACCCTCAGTCTTCTGCTGATTCCCGTCTCGTTTTTAACAGCTGACTTAACACATTCCTTCTTTGAATTTTCTCACATAATTCTGTGGGTCTACTTATCCTTTTTTAGTTGTCTCTACTCCCCGCCTTCCTCCTCTCTCACTGCTTTCGGACTAACATACGCTACTTTCTTTATACTTGAATACATCTGGGAACTTTCTCCTATCTATCCCCCTCTGTAAAACAGAGCGGCCTTCCCACCTTCAAGTCAACACTCATCTACCAACAGCCGCTTTTTCGCCGTATCTCCATGTAACAAATCAATCACCGCACTGGGAATGACTGTAGCAGACATTCTGATTGTAGCGCTGTTTTTATACTGTGACATGGAATGATATGAGACAAATGCCATTTCAGTTTGCCTTTTATGTATGGATACTATTTATATGTGAGGTGGGGTGTATCTATACAATGCCTTGTACTTTGGTGACACTTGACTTCCAAAGAGCAAGAGCCTTTTCACGAAAGGGCTCTGCAAAATGTATTGCACTGTCCCATTCTCTTCCTGTGTGAAGCCTTGGCCCTGTTTGCCTGCAGAGAAATGTATCCTTCTAATCTCGTTCTGCTCCAAAACTATTTTATTTGACAAGCTTATAGCCTTTGCCAGTCTATTTTTGTCACGCTCCCTGCTAAAACAAGGGATACATTTCACAAGTAGCGCAACAAGGCCATGGTTTGTTACGATATCTTTCTTTTCCTCCTGTGGGATGGATGCGCCTGGTTCTTTTTGCTGCCATTACACCGAACATTTGACCTGTCATAACTTGTGTTGTGCCTCAGTGTACTAAAACATAGTATGAGCTTACTTACATAAGCACTTATAACAAACATCAAGCGAACATGAGCTGCTGTTTCCAGTGCTTTTGATGTCTCTATTATAAACAATACTGTTTTCCAGAAAGGACCCTCCAAACCACCTAAACCAATATTTACCTTATCATAGCACTTATCATATCTTTATGGCTCACTGACAGGTCAAAGTGACGTGTGCACTCTCTCCTTATTGTCTACAGTGTTGTGTTTTCTTTGGGGGATTATATTCACACCTTGCTTGGGAAACTACATCTTAATGTTTTCTTAAAAAACAATTCTGTCAATGCGGACTACAAGACTTCAGTTATGGTCCACAGCCCTCTGCTGGTAAAGGACCCAATAACTGGTCTTGTGTCAGCTAATGCTTTTCATGTGTGAATTTCTGGAGTGACCCCCAGTCGCTCCTGCTGTGTCTTAGCTATACAATGTTTTATAAACAAAGGGATCATCATCCCCACTTATTTTTGTGTGTCTTGCAGTCCTGACATCCCGAGAGTCGTCATGGAGATAAAACATGGACCGCAGGGCCAAAGGAGTTGTTCACTATTCTGTCACCGTCACCTCTTATCAAACCCTTCTTTGTAATTCACTATTTAATCGAATATGATATACATACTGTATATACATAAACAAATATATTTGAGATTTGCTACTGTAAACACTGCAAAGTATCTGTATGAAATGTAAAATAATTTAGAAACCTTTTACTTAGAGCAATTATTACTATGAGTGTATTTAAATATAATAAAAATGTGCATTGTGTATAAGATAATATTTCGTCAAGTTTTATTATGCCCTGTTCAGGAAGTCAAATGTCCTTGTAATCATTCTTGTAACTGCAGTAACTGAGAGGAAGGGGCAGTGCTTCTGGAATACTCTGCAGTAAATAATTAACACACCAGTGTGCACTTTCTAAAAATGACAGTGCCATGAAGCTCCTATGTGAAATGCATTATGAATATGTTATAGGTACTAAAATATGAATGCTCTCCTCATTACCTCTGGTTCATGGGTCCATCATTTCACAATCATTGCTGTGTGTTTTGAAGCCAGAGTTCACAAAGTTCATCCTTGGATGCAGAGGGAAAAGTGGCAAACATCCTGGTATAGCTGCCCCCGCTGATATGGGTGATGTAACTCAGTATATATATATATATATATATATATATAGTATCAGTGAGTACAAGACATGTCACCATAAAGGCATGAGGGCACTACAGAAGTGAGATCATTTGTGGAAGCTGACAATAAATCTATTGAGTTGTGTATATAATATAGATACATTGTTATTGTCATTGTTTTAAAGTGTTTTGGCGTTCAAATAGGGTTAATGTTTTTATTCTTAGAACCAGAAACATTTAGAACATTCTGTAAAAACCCCATTTTAAAAAAAAAACATTTTGTCTATAAACACACAGTTGCACTTAGACGGCTACTGCATAACACTTTTGTCCTCCACCCCTTTCCTGTTTGTTTACCCTGGAGAGTAAATATTCTGTCTGTCACACACTGGGTGACGTGAGCCTTCCTTGTGCTCTGGCTAACCCCTAACTGAAACCCTGTGGATTTCTATAAATACGTTATCTGGTCGCACTTGCCTGGTGAAATCCTAAACGTGCACATATTTCCCTTTCCATTGATTACACCATATGCACAAATTCGGTTTCAAAAACAGATGTCATCATACGGTTTCTTCATAGTTAATTTCCACTTTGGGACCTTGTTTACTATGGAGAAGTATGTGAGATCCCTAGTTTAGATATTAGATTAATGATGTACAATTGGATCTTACTTAGAAGATTTGGAGCTGTCTAAGCTCCAAATCCTTGTTTCCCTCAGTCTGGACAAGCCCACAGCATGGTGCAACTCTGAGCCCTAACTGTACGCGGAGTATCTTGGATACTGTACAAACAAGTCAAAAAACAATGTCTTTCTCTTTGTACTTCCCTCTTACCCCTATCACATTGATCCTATTATATCAGTCTCACATGAAAAGTGAAATATATCCAACCTCCCCCACTTTCAAATCTAAACCCAGAGGACTCCAATCTCGTAAACAGGACATTAACAGATTATGATGATGCTTCAGGACACCACGCCGAGGGAATTATAAATGCTCAGACAATTGCACTCCTTATGAACTCAAGGTTTCGGATTAATCTAAAATGGGTTACAAAGCTAAACGTTTGACTACCTTTTTTATGAAGTGATTGATGAGCATTTCTAAGAAACAGGCAGTGAGTGTCAGGGAAAGAACGTCCTTGTCATCTGGAGAGTGAACATCTGCACGTCCACATTATGATGATGAATGGGGCCACAAGTTAATGAGTCTGACATACTGCACTTATCTATTCCTCTGTGACACACTTAGAAACAAATGGGCATGAAACATTCTCACTGATTCTAAGAAATACATTACACACTGTAGTAAAACAGAAAGTAAGATACAGGAAGCCACAATTGGTTGGAGTAGAAACTTTACGTGTCACTTTAAAAATACATTTTACATGTTACAGATACAGATTCTCTTACTTCTAACAAACTTGTAAATAACTGAACATCTAGTAATATAAAGTGGTGGACACACTGAAATAAACTTCAGCAGCTTTATAGTCATGCTTATTTTTGCTGGAGGACCCCCAGGAAACCTCTCCAAGAAGCCAGATGAAACAGAAACTGCAACAAAACACTCACCAAGAGTCGGCAGTAGGGGGCATTAGAGAGGTCTGCCCTATAGGAGGCAAGGCAAAAGCCACTGGCCCTAAATAAAGAACAGTATGTGAACATAGGAGGAAGTAGGCTAGTACACATGGACACCACTGGGAGGGCAGGCATGTTGAGCAGTACTGTCCCAGCAGTGAACACGGGACATAATGATAGAGGTCTGCCTGTAGATCTACTGTAGGTGTTTTTCTGGTCCGGTGGTGGCTGGACTTGGGCGAGCCAAAAAATATGAAGAATTCCCAAAACCAGGTTAGCCGCTGTCACACGCACAGTGGAATTGGCAACTGGCACAATGTGCGTTAGTCAGTGGCTTACCTGCTTTTTGATATCAGATATCATACTGATAAGCATAAGCACACACAATCTGTGGAGTAACAGACAAAGGCTGTGAAATACAACAGTCAAATCAGACACATGAGGTGTGAAATGGAAGGCTAGTTTTTCTAGACTATTTGTATCACTTTTAGAAATACCGTTATTTAAATTAATCACATTACAAAGATTATATAACAGTTCAATTAAATCGCCAATTCTCTTAAACCCTCTTTTGTCCCAACAATAGGCTACTTAAACATCTGACAATACTGATGGTTCACGATGTCCCGAAACACATCACATTGCTTTTAATGTAACTGTCATTAAAAGTTTCACAATAACCAATACATGTGACAATTGTAAATAAATTATTCAAGAAATTACATCTATGATGTTGGATGAGGTATTTAGAATAAAGAATACTGGAAGATAAATGGATCTACTTACCAGTCCCAAGTTTTCTTTTGGATTAATTTTAAATGAAAAGAACATTTCATTTTTGCCAACAGCACGCCACAAACCATCTATCCGAAGTTCAAAATAGTTTTTTCTCTAAAATAAATCACTGCGCATGGCTTAAGTTGGGTGCATTTTGAGGATAGAGTACACCGACGCTGAAGTTCAGTTCACTTGCACTATTCCCTACCCTGCCCACTCCCCTGCATCTGCAACCCGACCTGGTTATGCAAATTTGAAAGAAACTAACAACGGGTGCAGCCAATGCGCTGCCGAGTTGAGGTGAAGTTAAAGAGACTCGTCAAATCAAAACCGGGAGGGGGGTGGGCTTTATAAGGGCCATCAAGTTCAACTGATCTGAGAGTTATAGTTGGGGTGCGGCGCGTTCAGTTCTGCACGTCGTACATTAGGAATAAACCATTCTCTCGATAACAGTTTATTGGCCTTACTGATTATTTATCGCATACAGCAATGCGACGCAGGTTTATTTACCCTTAAATCACATTATCTAATGCTGGAGCTGCTAGTACATGTGGGATAAATGTGCTTTAAGCCGGTTTGACAAATATCGGCCCACCCCTACAGTGCAAAGTGGTTGAACTCAGTTTACTTGTGTACAGTGTTGCCATGAGCAGAGTGTGGCTGTGCACGTACCAAGGATGCAGCATGACAGCCTGATCTGATGATGACGACAGGGAGGAGGGCCATTATGATGATTTACACTATTAGCAGAGTGAGGGTTTAAGGATTCCTCTACAATTTTAATATGAATTAGTTGACCCTTAAATCTCTCATGTACACAGTTGGGTGCATTGAGACCTTCAATACAGAGGTTCCATTGGAGTGATTTTTTTTAATTGACATCCCAATATGATAGGTCCACCATATATTGTATTTATATTATAATTGTATTATCAACCATTTCGTCTGGTATATTTATATAAACAAAACAAGTCCTCTTTTAGATATGCACAAAAAGATCTCTTCACCAGATTGACCCTCTTGAACTTGTCAGCTGGGACACGATGTTCTTTCTCTGATTCTTGTATATCATCAAGCAACCTTTAGGGTTCAGTTAGGCATATTCTCAAGATTTCTTCTGACCAGTATTTGTCTGCCAAAACCCTGTCGGATTATTTACAGCCAGGATACACATAACCCCATAAACTCACAAATCAGGATTACATTAGCCTATATTATGTAACAGCTGTTTTGCAATGTAACCAAGACCACTAGGGGGCGACAGTGGCACCTGTTTACAGTATTGGCTCCATGTGGCTTGTGACAGGTGTATTAAAGATTTGATAATAGGCTGATTGAAAAAGTTGACAAGATTATTGAGACTTTAAAGGAAATGTTTTCATTATAATGTAATAAGAAACGGGTACTAAATGTGTAACTTAAACTTGCTTATATGAAATGTGCTATAATAACTATAAATAGCACAACAAATCAGTTAATTATTTGGGTATCATGTGTTAAAATGGTTAAATTAGCTGCTTAAATGTGGTTGTAGTACCAGTATTTGGTCTTTACTCTGATATGCATTAATATTAGGCCTGCTGTGATCCTAAATAAACGAACAGTGTCTCTTTAAGAGTCACAGCCTGAATGCACTCTGCCATTTCCGTCTCTAACCAGCCGGTGGTGTCACTCAACAACCGTGGAGACTTCAGACACTTACAATCACAACTCACTTTACTGAGTAGGGTAGGTTTGGTTAAAATGATTGTTTAATGCTAAAATATGCAATTTAGGTTGTACGGTTTTTGGGAAATGTGTGTAAGTTCCCCTACACAATGTATTGTGCAGACTCCAAGGGAGCTTGCAACGTTAGTTGACATTCGCTAAATGTAGCTATACTGAGGCTAGCTAACACGTTACCCTGAAGCTCATGGTAGTGGCCAGCGACATTTGTTCATTTAGAACAGCGTTAGAGCTTAGTCTCACATTCTTGTTATTGCATATATCTTTAAAATACACATCTAAATAGATAATGGGTGCATATTTTATCTACGGCACAGAGGAAGCACTCTGTTAGCTGCGGTGATGTCTTCTTTGTTTACAAATGTAGCCATAGTATAGCGTGCAGGCTGCTCCTAGCTAGCAAGCTAATGCTAGATAACCTTTAACTGTGTGTCTTCTAACAATACAGGTAATGTACAGCATTCGGGAAATGTAAAACTGTTGTTTTTTTACTTTTATAAATTGCTCACGACTTCCAAAATGTCAATCGTGCTTAGTAAGAAAATCTCGCTTGGTTTAATGTATCCGTGTACTGTAGTCATTACTATATTCCAATGATCAAGGGCAAATTAAATGATGCAATGGTTCATGTAAATCAATGGCTTACTGACTCACAGCTATATCTGAATGTTAAGAAGACAGTCTGTATGTTTTTTAGCAAGACCAACACTGTATCACACTGTGAACCCAAGGTCTATGTGTCTGGGGAGGTCATTCAAACAGTTACACATTTTAAATATCTAGGCATTATCCTTGACACTACTTTATCCTTCAAAAAACAAGTGAGAAAGGTAATGCAAATAACTAAATACAATCTAGCAAACTTCAGATATATAAGGAACTGTTTGACAACACCTGTAGCAAAACTCTACATGACTGCCATGATCCTTCCCCACCTAACATACTGTATGACCAGCTAATAGCACAACATTAAGGCCTATCCTCTCACTTCACAAACAAGCTCTCAAAGTTTTGGACAGAAAACCTAAGCTATACCACCATTGCAAAATCCTGGACAAACATAACCTGCTCAGCTGGGAAAATATTTTAAAACACACTGATGCATGTCTCATTTTTTCAATTCTAAACGGCAAGGCACCCCCACCACCACTCTGCACTTCTATACAGCAGAACCATTCAAACAGCAGAACCACAAGGTCTGCCCTAAGAGGGGGCTGTGTAGTCCCTCTTAGGTCCAGTTCCTTTGGTAAACACTGTTTCTCTGTGAGGGCACCAACACTCTGGAACACAACACCAATACAGATAAGGAATAACACCTCCTATCATACATTTAACCACAATCATAAGAACTGGCTTTTAAACAATCAAAAATGTGAACACTTTTAACTGTATCAAGGTATGATGATATGTCATCTGTTTGCATGTGTGTCTGTTCCTCTCTGGTGTACTGATGTTGTCTGCTGTACTCTATTTAATTATGTTTTTATTTTCTAGTCTTGTTGTGGTCATTTAACATCTTGCCAAGGACAACAGTTGAAAATTAGCCTGCTGGCTAATACTGGCTCATTTACAGCAATGTGAATTAATGTGCACTGTCCTTTAAATAAATAAACAAACAAACAACATGCTTGAGGATCACTTTCCCTCTCTGCTCAAAGACTCGGCCTGATATCACCTTGTCATTCCATAGAGTCGGTTGATTGTCTTTCCATCATCTCCTGTCCTCTCTGAACAGTGAGTTGATTGGCTTACATGCAACCAAAACATCTCAGTCCTAATGATATTCTTTCAGACCACTTGTGTCATAATTGTTCAAATTCAGCTTGTACAACAAACAATTCCAAACAGCACTATCTGCAATTCTGGTCTATCTTCTTAGGATTCCTTAAGAGAAAAGCTGTGTTGCTGTTGAGAAATTGTTCAGCTGATTTTCTGATGGTCAGCCATGGATGAAGATGACAGCCAAGAGGAGCTGATCAACCGCAGTACTTCCAACAGCAAAGGAAAAAGGCCTGCGTTGTGGGCAATCTCAGGTAGCCTGTTTAACATGTTATTCATATATATATATATATATAATATATAAGAGCATGAGTAAATGTTTTAATCTAAAGTATACTTTTATTTAACTCCTCATGCATTTGTGTTGCTCTTAGATGACTCGGACAGTGGGGAAGCGGAGTCTGAAGAGGGAGAATCTGAGAGTGGTGAGGAAGAAGAGGATGATCATCTAGGTGGAGAGGATGATAGTGATGATGAGGAAGACGATGATGAGGAGGAGGAAGAAGAAGAAGATGGGAATGAAGAGGAAGATGGTACTTGTTATTTCATGTTACAAGATTATCATGTAACTTTTTTTGCTCAACTTATGTTTCTGTTTTAGGTTTATACAGCCCAATAACAAATACATTTAAGTGTAAGCTAATCTGATTAAACCTACACTCGTTTTGTAACTAAAGTAACCTTAGTTTGTCTGTAGAGTTAAAGAGGACAATGTGCCTCTTCGATATGCACTACACACATGTTGCGTGAAATAAGTATAACATTATTTGCTCACTACTTTTCTTTTATGCTGCAGCATCAATGAATAAAGTATGTCAATTGCATTCACAATATATTTCTACCTACTTTGATCAGATGAGGAAGAAGAGGGAGACGCTAAGGCTGAGGATGGAGCTTTAGTTGGAACCTCTGCTGATCCTGCCGACATGAGCTCGGATGAAGACGCAGATAAATGTCCCATCTGCCTTAACTCCTTCAGCAGCCAGCCTGTCGCAACACCAGAGAACTGCGAGCACTACTTCTGCCTCGACTGCATCCTTGCATGGGCCAAGGTAAGTTATATGAACCCAAGGAGAAAGCACTTTGTTATAAAGCACGTTATATCTTTTTCTTCCGAGTACATACTTTGCATTTACGAAGCATACATCTTGGAGGAAGTTGAATGGTTAATTCTGACATTTTAGTTTTCTGCCTTTTTAGAATGCAAACTCGTGTCCTGTGGACCGTATTGCCTTCAACAGCATATACCTAAGGAAATGTTATGGAGGCAAAGTAAAGAAAATGGTAAGTGCCTTCAGTTTTTGGTAGCATAACTTTTGCAACATTTATAGTTTAGTCTTTTTAATTTAGGCTAATGTTTATGTGGGATTATTTTCTGCTTCAGATCACAGTACAAAAGCCTGTGAAGGAAGGGGTTGAGGAAGTAGTAGATTTGGACCTGGAGCAGACCAGCTGTGAGGCGTGTGGGGGCATTGACCGCGAGGACCGCCTCTTGCTCTGCGATGGCTGTGATTCTGGGTGAGATAGATATTTTTTGCTAAACTAAAAAGGCATTGAACAGCACAGTCCTATGCTTCCATAAATGTACAGATAATGTGTGTATCTGTCTTGTGATTTGGAGCTGCTCCAAATGTCTTGAAAACCTAACCCCTTTCTTGGTGTGTTGAATGTTGTCAGCTTTTGCCTTTATTACAGAAATAAAACCTGCCGCTGGATTTATTTTTCATCAGAGGTATTTGTTATGTCTTATTCTTCTATAGGTATCACATGGAGTGTCTCACGCCTCCTCTGGACTCTGTTCCTGTGGAGGAATGGTTCTGCCCAGAGTGTGAAGCCACCAACCGTCGCTCAAGTAAGCCTTCAAGCCTTCCTAAATTCAATATCTTTGTGGAATTGCTCTTTATTTTTGTAGCTCCTACCAAATGATGTTGCAACGAAAAAAATCATATAAAAAGGACATGTTAACCTATATCTATTCGTCATATATCAAGTGGCCATTTTTAAGAATTGTTTGCACCATTTAGCATCTTTTAAATATTTTTAATTCAGGGGTTTCAGCTGAAGAACTTAGCGACACAGAGAGCCTTCCCTCTACCGCCCGTCCTGCCACCAGTCGCTTCCAGTTTGGTACTGCAGGTCCCACCAGAGCCATCGCCCGGACACAGCAGAGCGAGAGGGTTCGCGCTAATGTCAACCGCCATCGCATCACACAGGCACGCTCCTCACAGGTTTGGCATGAGGCGTAGCACTTCAGTATTGGCTTATTTATTAACTAACTTATATAGTATAAGCGCAGGCTGGGTTTTTGCGTTTTCATGTTCCACAATGTTTGTTGTTGTGCAAATAAGATTTACTGATTGCATTTGCGACTCATTTGGTGTGTGTTTGGATGATGTTATTTAATGCTTCTTAGAGGAGAAATTATGGCATGAGTTTTTGACGGGTGTTGTCAATTTGATTTGTGATTGAAATGCTTGTGTTGAGAAGCACTGCATGTGTTTTGTAGTTGTAATTATAAATAATGGGTTGTCAAAGTGAACCAATGGAGTGCTGCAAACTTTTTCCTCCTAGTTGGCTCCAACCTTTCTCATCCAGTCCACTTGGCTCGATGACACTATTAACGCTGTGGTGGCTGGGCTCAACACGGCTGTGTATATACGGGACTTCACCCCCCGCCCCCCAACTACCCACAGGCGCAAGACCAGTAAGTAATCACACACATATCATTTCACAACAGTTTTTTTGTCACATATTTAAACACAAAAAAATATTTAGCGGAGAGAAAAGCAGGAAATAGTGATGAAGCCGTAATCCTTTAAATGTTATTGTTGTTTTAACAGGAAAGCGCAGGAAGGTCCGAAGAAAGACGACATCTTCTGCTAAAAGTAAAACAGGCAAAGCAGCAACTACAGGAGTGAAGAGGAGGAAACGGAGAGTGAGGAGGACTAAATCCAGAAGAAGGGTGAGTTTATCATCAACATTTGTTGTTAACTGGAGGTTAATGTAATTCGTTTTTTTACATTTTCAGAAGAGTATAAATACAATTATTTATTCCTCTTGAATCTGTCAGTTGATTTCTCTCTAAATAAACTATACCTGTGATTTCCTGCTAGATCGTGAAAAAGCCAGCCACTCCTCGAAGCCGTATTGCTAATACTCTCCGAATTGTAAAGGACAAAAAGGGTTCTTCGCTTCCTTCAGTGTATCGGCCAGCAGAGAACACGCTAAGCAACATGCGTGCTGACATCGGTACTGCATCTCTCTCTATCCACGGGGATCAATATGACCTGGATCCATTATCGGAACGGTAAGAAGAAGTCTTGTGCATATTGTACTGCTGACACAAATACCATTTTACAGACTTCAAATATTTCTCATTGGTATGACTAGGTCTGGGCCGGCAATATCATAAACCTTTATATGTGGTTATGACCTATTCAAGTATATAACACCTACTGTAGTTGGATAGTTCTTCAGAGTGTAACTGTACATAGCTAAGCATATGCTATTTTAATTATCAAGCTAATAGTGCATTGCATTATTCATTTGACCAGTGAGGAGGTGGAGCAGCAGGCCCGCGTCACATCGCTGTTGGAGGCCAAGAGACGAGGGATCTCTCGCTCTGCTCTGCGCTCTCACCAGCCTGTAGCTCGACCCGTCACTGCAGGCCATTCCAGGTAACACCCCCCTCTAACCATGATGTGTAAGGGTTAGGGGTGTAACGGTTCACAAACATTTCGGTTCGGTACGTCAGAGTCCTGCATCGGGTCTGGTACCCGACGGGTGACCCGCAAAAAAAGTGATGCGGGACCGCGCATAATCATAACCTCTGCAGCGCATCAATCTGCTGCTGAGCGCGCCACATTCTAAATGGCTGAGGTGAAGCTCTAGCGGAGAATACAGCATTTTCAATAACACTTCCTCAAGAGCGAAATCCAACTTCTGGGAGGCTTTTGGTGTCATCCTAGATGGAGAAAAGAAACCAACATCCCACGCTTTTTGAGACAAATATGCAACTGCGTGTGTTAATAATTGCACGTTTTCACTGCTCATATATATGCGGGTTCGGGTCGGGTTGCGGATCTTGTGCCGACGGGTCGGGGAACTAATTGGCTAATATGTGCGGGTAGCGGGGCGGGTTCAGTATTGCACGTCGCAGGTGCGGGGCGGGAGCGGGCCTTAAAAATCAGACCCGTGCAGGACTCTTCGGTACGTACCTCGGTTTTTAGGTCACAGTTCGGTTCGGTACGTTTTCGGTACAGCAGAAAACATTATCACAAAACATAAAATATTTCTTGTTTTTTTATTATTATTAAACTGTGAATAATGTATTCACTCAAATAAATACAAAATATAATAAAATAAACATTAAGGTGCAGCATTTCGATGAACTGAAATAATCTGTATTTGAGCTTTACTGTGCTAATACTCACAAAACATAACAAACGTTTGTAATAGCTTTGGCTCGGTCTGATCTTTCTGCGAGTGGTGGAGGCTTAAATGCTAGCGGGAGTTGGGTTTGCACTTCAGTAATTTTTCTTTTGGTACCCGTGATATTGACGTTCGGGTGATGTCTTTTCAAATGAGTGTGCAAGTTTGATGTATTGCCAGCCGCGTAACCAATGTTAGTTGAACAATGCCGACAAACAGCTTTGGTTCGGTCCACCTGTCTTTGTACGTAACTGCGAAACCAAAATGTTCCCAAACCGGAGACTTCAATGATGCTGGAGGATTTTCGAGCTCAACTTTATCTGCGTTCGCCATTTCGACAGTTCCTCAAATTACTGACTAAATTTGAATGCATCCCTGTGACCAGGGGCCTCATTTATAAAGCGATATACGCTCAAAAAATGGCGTACGCCAGTTTCTACGCAATGTTTGCGATTTATAAAATACTAACTTGACGGGAAAATGTGCGGTCCTCCACGCAAACTCTAACCCATGCGTACGCACTAAGCACAACAACGGGAGAGACGAGAAACTGCGACACCGTTGGCAGAAGGAAGAATGGAGAGAAATATGTGGAAATAATACCATAAATAAAATGTTACCTCTCATTTATCATATATGAAGAATTTATTTTCAAACATTGATTAAAGCCAATCTTAAAATGATTAAACAAACGCCTGTTTGAGACTCCTCAGTGCACACAAAAACATAACTTGGAGAAATAAATAAATACGGATATGTTATTTAAAACCACCTCGAATATGTTGTGTTAATGTTATGAAATGTTTTCTCATAAATGATGCGGTAAGCAGGAGGACAGAATTACGTCTAAACTGACGCCGTTTTGCATTTCTATAGGTTGTAGATACGAGCATGGTTTTATATACTACCATGTTTAATCGTGTTTTATGCCGTTTGCATTTGAGACGCACAGGCTGCAGCGGAGACGCTGCGCACAGCTGATCACAGACACAAACCACAAAATACGAAAACATAATTCAGATCCAGTCGTCATGATTCCCTGATCACTTATTACAGTCTCTCATCAAGGGGGGTCTCCTGTCCCCGATACAAACACACTGCCTGAGGAAGGCTATGTGTATTGTTTTTGTCATTAACCTTTTTCGGGCCATTTATTTATTTATTTTGGTGACGATCCGACCTCCATGCTGCTACTCTGGTTCAAACTGCATCCACCAAATAATATGATTTATCTCCACCTCCCCAAAATAACCCACATCTGACACGGCGTGAGATGTCTTTTTTAGCTGTTCTGTCGTCATTTCCTGCGATCTTCTTCATAAAGTCAGTCAAAATGAATGAATGGGCGTTTCTTTGACTATTTATAGGCAAATATGGGCGTTACGTGAAGCCTGCAAAAGCTGCACCGCATTTCGAGTCGAATGTGATTTATAAAGGGAAACCGGCGTAGGAAGCGCTGTACGCACTTTCCTCTCCGGTACGCAATGTTTGGTGAATCGGGAAGTGGCGGAACATTTCTGTACCTATTTTTTGGATTTCTACTACGTAAGCAACCTTCCCACGTGAATCCTACGCACGGAATTATAAATGAGGCCCCTGCTCTCATAGTATGCCTCTCGTCCAATGAAATGACTTGGTCGCTCTATGACGCGTTGAACCCAATGTGAGCAAATTACTCTGAATGCTGCGACGCAGCACCTGAGATTACTTACAAAAAGTTGTTCACGTTCTCAATTTTTTACGTTTAACGTTATATTCGTTCGGTACACTTCGGTACACACGTGTACCGAACCAAAGGGCCCGTACCGAATAATTTCGGTACGTGTACCGTTACACCCCGAGTAAGGGTTGTTGTTTTGAACAGCTCCTGATTCTGAACTTCTGATTTTGAGTAACATGTTTTTGTTCATCAATCGCTACAATTGTACACGTTGAACATGTGCATGACATACATGCAGTGGCAGCTGGTCAATAGAGGGTGCTAGGTCGCCGCCTTCCCTTCCTCCCCAGTGGAACGGTTCAAATAAAATGTTGTATATTAAATGTAACTAATTATCCTCAGAATGTATGGGTTTAAATGTACAATAATGTTTCATATATATAACATCTAAACCACTATTACAGTATGTTTGATTACTCTCTCTCACCTTTGTACAACCCCAGTCAGTGAAGGCTCTCCTGAAGTGCCAGTCAGTACCATCTTCCACAGCCCCACCTAATATATTTTGCACCAGCCGCCACTGCATACGTGTGCATTACATGATAGAAATTGCACAAATCACTGCTTTTTTTTTATGACAATTTGTTTATTTTATGTAATTCTTTAATGCAAATCTAGTGTTGTTTTGCTTAAAAATATTTTTGGATTAATCTCTCTGTGTTTTGCTAAGAAGAAGAGTAGATAAACATTTTTAAAAAACTGAAATTATTAAACAACAAATACAAACACTACTTATGTGCATCATGACAGTGACCATCATTTGTTATATGCAATATATCAGGTGTTTTGAATGTTTTTATCATCACAATGGTATCTAGCTTGAAATATGGCTGATCTAATTAAGGATTTGCTTTGCTACACCAGGAGAGGTATGGACGTTCCCCAATCAGCGGGTTTTGTTGAGGCGGCTCCTGTGCCCGACCTCCTGGGAAGCATCCTATCAGGACAAAGCGTCCTCTTGATGAACAGCTGTGATGTCGTTATCAATCGAGATGGTTCCCTTAAAGCTACAAAGTCATGTAAGTGTGTGGCACACAGCAAGACCAAAGATCACACATCATCTCACTGTGTTGCTGTTGATGAATGTTCCAGTTTGCCCGAACTCTGACGTGAATAACATTCAAGATTCAAGGGTTTCATTATCATATGCAAAGTAGCTACAGTGTAGTTATGGCAATGAAAATCGTAGGTCCCGAGCTCCTCCGACAATGCAAGATATTATTATAGGACATAAGACAACAAAATAATAATAATACAAAAATAAAAATAGTGCAAATGAAACGGAGTATAATACATTTGAATAAAATAGTGCAGGTGAAAGAAACAGAATGTAAGGTTAAATATTGTACAGTGAAATACAATCAAATACTGTTTGATCCAGTGATAAGTATTAAGATAATACATTAAATAAATTCTAAGATGCAACCAGATGAATTTGGGTTATTGAGCACTTAAAGGTGGGGTAGGTAAGAATGGAGAAACCAGCTCGAGTGCGCTAGAATTTGAAAATACACAACCAGAACAAATCTGCCACTTCCTTACAGAGCCCCTCTTCCAACACACACGAAAGCGCACATGACTAATGAGGGCACGAGATAAGCTTGAGCACAGATGGAAGGCTGACAGGCAGGTAGGCCATCCAGTTATTTTAGCCGGGCCGGCTAAAACGATTGGTCGTGCTTTTTGAAGCGCAACGGCTTCCACAGATGACATTTTTTTAATGTATTTATTGTCAAAGCATTTAATATATTCATTGCTATCGGGAAGTTAAGAGCTTTCCATGGAATATAACAAAAAGTGTTTCTGAAGTGAATTACCTACCCTACCTTTAACAGAGCTCAGGCGTTTAGCAGTCTTATGGTCTGTGGGATGAAACTGTCCCTGAGTCTGGTGGTTTTAGTCCTGATTCTGCGGCACCACCTGCCAGACGGCAACAGATAGAATTGTTGCTGGGGGGGGGGTTCTTTATAATCATGATGTGAATAACTAATGTGAGCTGTGTCAGCTAAGCAAAGCAATAATTGAATTCTTAATATGTGTTTTTAAATGGTTTTTGTTTTTGTGTTGCAGTAATGCAATCTGAGTTAAACCCAGGCCACAGCAACGACAACAGCTCAGGAGAGGCCAGCACCCAGATCAGCCCAATGATGTCCCCCAACCAAGGAGACAGTTCTCCGTCCCTCCCCTACAATGTAGACCAACCAGGATCCTCCCACAGTTCCATGAACAGACCTCTATCCCAGAGCTCCTCTCACTTACCCCCCCACACGCCCCTGCAGACCGGCCACATCCGACCATCTTCTCAGCTACCTCTTCCGATCAGACCCACGCACCCCCACGGTCATCAGAGAAGCAACGGAGCCCCCAGCCCCTCCCTAAGCACCAAGAGCAAGGGGATGGCCTCATCACAATCCCAAAAAGCACCCGCAAAGCCCATGTGGGTAGATGTGTCAGTGCTTCCTAGGATACCAAAAATAAAAAGGGAGAGCGGTGATGTCACAAATAATGGCACCAATCAAGATGTCCGTGATCGTAGCAGCAGCAGTAGTAGTAGGGGAAGCAGTAGCAATTCCACCACCAGTCGTCATGGTCACAGCCTTCCAGAAACGGGCATGAACAGTCTTGCTGGGGACAGGGGACGGCAGCAAAGTGTAGACCAGCAGAAGGGCCGGGCCGAGGGTCAGAGGCAGAGGCCCGAGGGACCTGGCTCTTCCTCAGCCTTCTCCAACTCGTTCTCCTCCTCTTCCTCCTCCTCCATGGGCTCTTCTGCCAGCCAGTCTCGTTATTCCTCGTCGGCATCATCCTCGTCATCGGTGAGTTTCCGCATTAACACAAGTGGGAACACGTGGCAGTCGAGGCAGGTAGGCAGCTCGTCACTTCCTGTCGCTGGAAGCAGTACGCAGCCGACCCGGGCACAAAAGGAAGACGATGCCAAAAAGAGGCAGCTGCACAGAGATAAACAGAAGCTGCTGGCATCGCGTACAGCGGTCAAACAGGAAGAGAGCAGCGATACTATCTACGATCCTTTTGATCCCACTCTGTCAGACTCGAGCAGCTCAGACAACGAAGCTGAGAGCGCAAGACTGCATGGAAGCTCCCAGAATGCAACACGCGAGGAGAAAGCTTCTAGTTTAGTAAAGAAGAAGCAAAGGCAGCAGGACCTGGTGACTGTCAAAACCGAATCACAGGACATTGAGGTCTCACAGGAAGAACCAATGAGAGCTGATGCTCAGGAATCCACATCCCAGGAGGTCAGATTCTCAGAAACATATGTCAAGGTAGAAACAAAATCAAGACTAATAGATATGAAGTCTGAGAAAACAACATCGTTACTAGCCACTAAAGTTAAGATGGAACCAGAGTTGGATGACGCAGGGGGAGCTGAAAGAATTGGTAGCAGCGTTAAAAGTGAAAAGACAGAAGACACTTCACCACCTGTCCAACACAGACTGGATCTTTTCAAGATTAAGAGAGAAGAGGAGAGTGCACAGAGTGCTGTCACTCCTAACACTGCTCCTCGAGATCCATCAGCATCTAGCTCTACTCCCATTAAGAAGGAACAAAAGCCAGAAACTAAATCTGACTCTAAATCCTCTCACAAGTCAAGAGATTTGGGCCAAAAGAAGAAGACCTTCCAAGCTTCGAAGGAGAGGCGCTCTAAAAGTCCAGAGACAGACCGAGGGAAGACCTTCCAAGCTTCGAAGGAGAGGCGCTCTAAAAGTCCAGAGACAGACCGAGGGAAGAGGGGAGACCGTCAGGCATCAGGCCCAGGAGGCAGACAAAAGGAAAAGAGTTCCAGGCGGTCCAGGTCCAGAGAGAGGACTGGTGCACACTCAGTCTCTGAAAGCTCTCAGTCCCCTGTGAGGAAACGCCCAAAGAGACAGCGATCCTGCTCCCAATCCAAAGAGACGAGGAGATCTAGGTAAATATGTAACACTTTGTCCAATATATTGCTTGTATCAAATATGTAGTTGTTGCTGTTTGACGTCGTTTGCTTCTGTTAAGGGTTTTTGTCTCTCGTCACTGATTTTAGGTCTGGTTCTGGATCTAGCAGCAGAGAGCGTTCCAGAAAGAAGAAGCCTTTACAAAGGAGCAAGGAGAGAAGTGATGGCAGAGATCGAGACAGTGATAGAGGCCGAGAGTCGAAGGACAAGAGACGCGGTCGGGGTCGCTCAAATTCCCGGTCGAAATCACGGTCCAGATCCGTATCCAGGGAACGGAAGAAGGGTCACACACGACTGCCACAGCCACCGCTCTCCTCCAAAGACAAGGAGGACTCTCGATCAAAAGACAAGATGAGACGCAGGTCCAGATCCAGCTCAAGAGAGAAAAGGAAAGAAGAAGGGTCTTCATCCAAGAGCGCTCAGAAGACTTCAGGGTCCCGCGTTTCGTCCTCTAAAGACACGAAACAGTCACAAGACAAGAAAAAAGCAAAGGATACACCTGTAAGCTCCATCAAAGAGGAACACGTTGCCCCAGTGATCAGACACAAGACTCCCTCCCGTACTCCTGCCTCTGAAATGACAAAGAAAGACCATAAGGTAGAGAGCCAGGACACAACAGCAGGAAAAGCTACAGAGATCAAGGTTGAAAAAGAAATAAAGAAAGAAAAGCGACCATCTCTTGATATGTTTGAAGATTTGTTTTCTATTAGTGAACCGATTAAGAAAGAAGAATCTGACATCCATGCTTTCATGGAGGCCAAGAGCATGGATGAGAAGGGGAAAGAAGAAGACACCATCAAGACGGAGAAGTGTAAAATCCCCATGATTAAATCTGAGCTAAATTCCCCTAAATTATGCCATTCACCCCCCCTCCCCTTATCCTCCTCACTGACCACACCTGTCCCAGCAGACAGTCTCCAGGATACAGTGTCTGACCCAGAGTTAACGGCCTCCAGAGAACAACCAGACTCTGTGAAGCAGGAAGTCCAGGAGCCCTCGGACTCTGATGATGACTTTAATGTCGATGTGATGCTGGACAGCCTGGACTATGTGAAGACCGAGCGCTCAGAGGAGAGCGGTGCATCTGTCAAACAGGAGAAGGAGGGAGAGGAGGGAGAGGGGGAGGAGGGGAAGAGCGAACAGATATCGACCGTAGCCAAATTCAAGACTCAGGGGAAGAGGGTCACCTGGAATATACAGGAGCCTGAGGGGCCTCAACCAGAAAAGAAGTCTGCAAGCAGTAAGTCTTGCTGCTGGAAGATGTCAAAAGCAATTTATTTTGTTTTACATACAATTTCCTTGATATTTTGTCTAGATGTTACAGATCATAAAGTGTATTTCTACTTAAAGGTCCCCTATTATACTGTTTTCCCTCAATATATTATAGGTCTCAGATAAATACAAAACATGTCTCTGAAGTGTTTGGCTGAAATACCAAACAGATCATTGCAGCATCCCATAATCCCCTCTGTTTCAGCCCTGTTTCAAAAGTGCTGATTCTCTGTCTGTTACTTTAGATGAAAACAAGGAGCCCCTCCCCACGCCCCTCTGAGAGATATTTGGTTACAAAGAACACAATGGTGCTCTAGGAGGAGATTCAGGTGATAAGGTGGGGTGGGGGGGGGGTTGTTACCTTGGTTGGTGATTGATTGGCTAATGGGCTAATGCCTAAAAAACATTATGACATCACAAAGTGGCCAAAATCTGATCAGCTCATTTTCAGACAAGTTTGTAAATGGATCAGGACAAAAAGAGAGCGAATCGTTTTTCCTGAAACTTTCAGAATCTCTTTCCACAGAAACATGTTCATGTATAAAATACAGGAAAAAGTGGATTTTGCGTAATAGGTGACCTTTAATATTTTCTTTTGAATCTTTCCTGACAGAGCTGTCTCTGTATAAACTGAAGCTGAAGCAGGAAGGGGCTCGCAGACCCTCCTCAACAGGCCAGACATCCAGTCAGGTAGGACAGGTATTGCCTAATAACAGTTAACCTAAATGTGCTAGCTAAACACTATACTGTACATGTGTCATGTGATTGAATAACCAGAGGGTGGCAGTGTTTTATCTATAAAAGAGCAAATGTATTTTTCTGGGTGAGGTCACGTGACAGAAACTAAAACTGATACTGAGATAATTTCAGACTAAACGAAAGTAAAAGCTTTAGTGTAGAAACCTGCTGTCAACAGATTTGATTCAGACACTTCCTCCTTCTCCCATTATAATCCTCTACAGACATGTAATATATAAAAGTTTTGATGATGAAATGTTGATACTTAGCCATGGATTGTGGGACATTATAAGATTTATTTATATTAAGGCATTTTTCACAATTGTATTGACAAAAGTATCATTGTTTTCCTGCCCTAAGTGATGTAATCCATGTTCTTATCGTCCATATCATTTTGGTTGGCTTTCACAGGACATCACTGCGGCTGTCAGTAAACCCTCCAAGAGGGGGGCTGTTGGAACCTCCTCTAGATCTGATGGAGAACAAGGAGAAGCAGAGGAAGGGGATTTAATGGGGAAAGATCAGGTGATTATGTGTTTGTAGTGTGTAATCTTTGGACTGAATAGAGCACTTATTCTCATGGGATATTTTGTTTAGACTAAACGTTATAACTCCTTTTCCTTTGACAATAGTTTTAGAAACTAATGTCTGATTTGTATAACCTTACCATCAGTATTTGAAGAAGCTGCACATGCAGGAGAGGGCTATAGAAGAGGTGAAGCTTGCCATCAAGCCTTTCTACCAGAACAGAGACATCAACAAGGATGAATACAAAGAGATTCTACGCAAAGCCGTCCAGAAGGTGAGTACAACACTTAGCCAAGGTTTGTCACCACTGCCGGAAAAACGAGAACTTTGAGTCAGTATTTCCTGAGAATATAAAATATATATAATATTGCTTTTGTTCCTGGTCACCAGGTGTGCCACAGCAAGAGTGGGGAGATCAACCCAGTGAAGGTGGGCAATCTGGTCAAGGCATATGTGGACAAATTCAAACACGCTAGGAAACACAAGAAAGACGAGGACTTAGGGCAGGAGGCTGATGATATGAACATCTCTGATAGCCCGTGAGGAGGCAAACATTGAAGGCGAGGACAGCCACTGCTAACACTAACCCATACACCATGTTTTACTCTGAGTCATATTACTGGCTGTGATCTCCAACTCTACAATCAAAATGGTAAACTAGCAGCTTCAAGATTTTATACAATGTCAAGGTTTCTGAGTTTTGAAGACTAACTTTTTGTTGAACTGCACCTACTGAGGACTTGTGCTTGGACTGCCACTGCCAAGAAGTGGACTCTTTGTGTTGATCATCTCAGAACCGGGAGGCCTGGAGGTTGTGCCTTAAAGAGGCAAATCTCAACCCCCCCCATGGAGCCAGAAATCAGGTAGCTTCGGATGCAGCTCGGGCTTTGAGTTTCACACGGCTGTTTTGTGGGTATTTATCAGTGACACAACTTTCTGTTGGTTAAGAAGTGGTAGATTAATATGCATTATTTGCATATTTAAGACATTTGTAACATTAAGGAACAACACTGTTATGCAATTTTTGTAGAAAGTGTATCCGTAAAGATATGAAACCATTTTAGATTTGGTTGTAAATAATATAGATTTGATATATCCACTTATGTTCCTTTCATCTATGTTGCGAATGACTGATATAAATGGTTCTAGTTTATAGAGCTGACTGGTTTCTGTTTTGTATTATCCGTCTTCCACATCCCAAACAATGTTTAAAGAGCTAAATCCAGTCCAGCGTCCAGTCCACTAATTTTCTCAATAATAGAGATTCAATTTGTTTTTTCCAATTCTGTTTTTAAACAGTTGTGAATACTACTCCACTCTACCGTAAGTATACATTTTAGTTTGAAGTGGAAAGAGTTAAAATACAGCCTTCATGTTCAAAAAGCTCAATGGGTTTCAGTCCCCAGAAACATTCATTTCTGTATTGCCTTGCTGTCTTACCTGGTGCACTCATGTCAACATACCCTTTAACATCAGTTTTTTGTTGTTGTATGTAATATATATTAAGAATTTTTTTTATTTGCATGTAAATCCATGGTTTTTGAGATCAATGTATTTCCATGAATAATAGGAACAATAGAATATCGCAGCAATTCCCAAGGTATGTATATCAAAAATGAACTGTAATCTGTTCAGGGTTCTCTTTGAGGTGTCTGCTATACTAACAGTAATCACAGCTTCATTAGGACTGCTTTGTCAATGTGTCTTGAAACTGAACCTCACTCTTTGCTTTCTTTTATCGAAATGTTCATGAGAAAGTCATTCTGTGTCAATAGCAGTTTATTTGCTGGAAAGGCGGATTATGAGGGTGGTTGGACTTGCCTTGGACTTTGTCCCATGAAATCAGCTTTATAAAGCCAAGAACTAGGAATGAAAACATCTACAAACACAGGTGCTCATGTTTATCTGATTGTATTTAACTTTTTTCCGCATTTACTTTAGACAGGCCAGATGTTTTTAAGAGGGAACACTTGATAATAAATCACTGATGATGAATAGGGTTTGTCTCGATCTAATCTTTTTACTATTTATTTTTCCTGATATCATTTTTCGGCTCAAGCAGGGTTTGGCTTTAGGTGGTAACATCTGAAGATATTCTATGACAAGCATAGAGATGGCCCTTTTATATTATCTCTGTAAGTATCTCAAGTGTATTGGTGTTACTTTAAGACTGAAAACACATGATTCTGTTTTTATAGATGACTTGACATCTTTCTCTTTAATTCATCAATCGTCGTCATTATCCACGACCACTTAGGGTCTTTCAATGTTAGGCTTGATTTGACTTATAAGAAAGCAGTACATTATAACTTTAAATTGATCAATTATACATTCTGAGTATTACCTCCCAGCCTTTCCGAGTCCACACTGCAGCACAGTGGTAATAAACTGAGACGTCATTCGGAGTTAAACAGTTTATTTAATATCTTAATGACAGTTTTTCAAAGGGATTTTTCCAGTGTAAAAAGTGCAAAAAACGAGTGTGAAAATGGTAAGTGCAAAAACATTCATCACAAACAAGGAAACATTGCAGTCAATGGCAGCATGACAGTCTCATACATCCCCATCCAGTTTAAGCATGTTACAAGTTCATAAATATCGAAAAACTTAACATCTTATGAAGGATTTCCCATCATTTAGGGCCTCATTCTGTTCCACGTACATATATAATATTAATGGAACCGTACATTTCATTCGCAGGTGATTTGACATGTACAGTTATCATATAAAAGTATTCTAAGGCAAGACCTGTGGCCTTTGAGTGAGTAATGTAACAGTCCAATAGAAGAGCTCATATCTACTGGTGTAGTGATAAAAAAATGATTGCCAACATTTGTGAATAATGAAAACAGGAGGCATTGCAAAGCAGCGACGTGTTTGATTATTGACGGTATATTATGCAATCTTCAAACTAATTCCTGGTCTTTGTGCTTCAGCTTCTATGACACATTCAACAATTTACCAGTTTGATAATGTGTTTTTGCAGAGCAGAGGGTGGTCCAATGGATAGTTGAGATTTGAAAAGTTTGAGTGATTTCATATTTGAGTTTGAAAAGGTGCAGCAGCCCTCGCTGGCTCTTCAGCTGTGGGTAGACTAAAGACGTTGTTAATAAGATCAAAGAGGCTGTTGTGTGAGATTTGTAGGCTGACATTGCTGCTGTGAAGAGACGAAGCCCCCTCCATTTGAGCCACCTCATGAAAGTGTCGACAGATCAGAGGGACCACCTGCGGGGGTGAAGTGACACATTGAGACATTTTACAACACATATAAAAACTGCATAACTAAAAGGAGCCGCTCTCCAATCCTGTATGTGTCTTTGAGGTGAAACTAGAAAAGAGCGTTACCTTGACAACGATAAGCTTCTTCTCCAAAGGTTTCCCATCAGGGAACTTCTCTCCAAAGCACATGTTGATGGCGTATTCAGGAGAGCCACCATTGTTTTCTTTAAACTGCTTCAGTTCTGAAACAGATACAGGTGGGAACATTTATTGCATGGTGGAAGTTAATGCTGGCTTCACACAGAATGTCATTTTGTTCCTACTGTATAAAAAGCGAGAGATGTATACATACCATGCACGTACTTCTCAAAGCTCAGGAGCGTCACAATGGTGTTTGGGGGCAGCTTGCTGGGGTTAGGGTGAGCCACACTGGGATCACTGGTGCTGGCAAACACATGGCACTTGTCCTGCCTCCAGGCGTAGATACCGGTGTCCCGTACCTCCAGGAAGAGACCTCTCTGGATGCTGTTCAGGATGCGGTTAGTGTACTCAACCTGGTGTAAAGAAAAAGTTTGCCATTAGAACAACTTTAACCTTAAGAAAAGTTTCCAGGATGTACAGTAATATATTAACTTAAGGGAAAAATCAAGCATTGCATTTCGGATCAAAGTTCTTGGCAGGGGATTTTTATCAAACTTGTTCCTTAAGTTCATGCTAAATTAACACAGACGAGGTTTCCCAATTTGTTGGTTTCGTGCTTGGACAAAAACGCTGGTGATGTGAAACGCATTCCTAGAAGAAAACATATTCACTATGTGCCATACTGACAGGAGCCTATTTTAAGATGTTGGTTGCTTGGCACAAAACATGATCCTTGAGGTGTTTTTCAGTACATTTGTAGGATTTTGTTTTGTTTTTTATTTCCACAAAAGGCCTATTTGATATCATGTACCTGCTTTTGGTCGAGCAGACCATCGGTGGAGGGGAAGCAGAGACGATGTGCGTTGAACTCAGGGACCTCGTGGTGGTAATGAAGCTGGAGAAGTTCAGTGCTAAATGTAGTCTTTAGCATTTCTCTTTTCCTGTAGTGGATGGAGATCTCCAGGTCATATATAGTCGGCTGCAGAGGTGAACTGAGGACTTGCGGAGGATTTACTGTAAAAAATAAATGTTAAAATACATCACATCTTTATAGAGACAATAAAGGAATGTGATTTTATCAGGCTGAACATTTCCTTACAGTAAGCAGGCTGCTCTGCTATATGCTGTGGATGGCTCTCGGCTGCTACAGGATAACTTTCAGGGACAGCTGGATTCTGCTGAACATAGTCTTTTGCCCATAGTTGCACATCTATTAAAGACAATAAAAATGTAATTAAACTATATTTAACCATCATTACTAACCATGTAAAACCATAAACAGGTGGAGAGGACATTCTTCTATGACTTTATGGTACTGCGTTTTTGCATAACACTCTACCTGATGGCTGGCTGCCAAGATCCAAGGTCATGAAATTGTTCAGAAGAATTAGCTGTTTGGAGGGAAACAGCATAGTATTGAGGCAGTTAGTAAGTATCTAAGGGAAGAAACCACCACAGAGAAAATCAGTTTGATATCACATCAATTAACAGAAAACCCAGACAATATTGCACCTCATTTCCTGAAGGTTGGTCCTCTGTGGGAGAGTTGTAGATATCTGGACTCATGTCAGCATCCTCCTGGGAGTCTTGTACTGGCTGACTTTCAAGGTTGCCTGCTGATAAAGAAAACAAGGGCAGATTCATTTGTATTCAACTCTTAACAGTGGAAGTATAACACCTGGATTAAGTGACTCCTCTTACAGTCAGTGTTGATGATCTCATAGATTTTGTGAGGGTCTTCCTTATTCTTGGAATTATCCCTTATCATCTCGAAGCCTTTAGAGAGGTTGTTGAGAGCGCATCGGAAGTTGGTTTTCCACCTGGCCTTGTTGTTTGGGAACTCGTGGATTTTTCCACTTGCTTCTGACCATGCCTGTTAACCATAAAAACACGAGATAAAAGCCACTCCATATCCTCACATTACAAATGCCGTCACAGGGGGGACACCTTCAAATGTAATTATGATCACTAGGAAAATTAAATGATCGTAAAAGCTGTAATTGCATATGAGAACCCACTTTAAGTTCTTTCTGTGGACAATTCGATTGTTGGATTTCCACTTAACACGAAGTAACAACGTATTTTGAACAACCTATATTGTGGTTTTGCTACTTATATTCAAGGGAAGTGGAAGTGAGATGTTGGCATGCTATAATTGCCACTCTAAACACCTGCCGTTATTAAATAGCACACAGTCATTATGACATTAAGGAATCTCTAATGATGTCAACAAAGCCATTAACATTTGATCTAATCACACTTTGCCGGATCATACCATACATGTAATTGCAGTTGAATGTGTAATAGGAGCTGTTCAACCTACCCGGAATATTTTACTGTCTTCATCATTGCAGTCCCTTCTGGAGTTGTGCTTCCAGGGGACTCTGAACTTGTTTATTCCCACATAGCACAGGCCCGGGTACTGGCCCGCCCCAACCTGCTCTATGAGCCAGCTGGAAAACGGAGGCTTGGTAGGGCTGAGAGGAAACATGACAAATCAGTGTTGTTCTTTAGATGACACATTTAACAAGAGCAGAGAGAGGAAATGGACTCAAGAACCTAAACCACACATGCACTGTGGTAAAAGCTACTGGCAGCTTAGGAAAAAAGGTGAACTATGTTTTACGCAGAGATATATACAAAAGAAAAACACATTCAGCACCCTGTGATATTCTACATGGTCTGCCCAGATAGTTTTCAGCAACATGGAAACTTATTCAGCCTACAAAAGTATTTAGTCAAATCATCACACAAATCAGGTTTGACAAGTACTACTTTACAATACATTCAAATAACACCAAAACAAACAAAGGCATATAATAAATAAAGAAGGAAGAGAGGGCATAGATGAGGCTATCCCTACCTTTGCATGTCTCAGTAGGTGTTGCTCTCCAGGGTCTCTTGTGGCTCTTCAGAAGCACCTTTGCTGATTTTATAGAAGCAGAACCAGTGACACTGTGATGTTTTGATCTCTCCTCCCCCGTGGGAGGGCGCAGCTCCAGGCATTTCCGATGCACGAATGGGTGAGTTTGATTTAAGGAAAAGCAAGACCTTACCTCCTCACACAGAGCTTAAAACAGGCTCCCGGTGGATAAATTAAAGGCACCCTCTGCAGACCGGATGAAGGGCTGGGTTGGTTGGAAAAGGGAAATGTCTCCGAGGTAGGTAATCGAGGCAAAATGAAAGTGGGTTTTTTGACACGTAATTTTGTTCTTGCATCACCACGTCATCCGCATTTCATCATCCACCCCAAGTTATTGTGTTCTCATAGGCGCTTTCGCCCACTTAACCTGCAGGCAAGCTTAGTGTATTTAAATAAAATCAATAGCAGTATTACTGTCTGGAATTTAGAGGTGTAGAGTGTATTTTTGGCAGCAGTGTTACACTTGCCAACATTCTCAAATTAGTTTATTACTTTAGGATCGCCCTTTGACCTGCTTTATTCCATGATGATACCAAGCCTACTTTATGTTGTTAAACATAAACAGACTAACAGACTGTCACTAACCACAGGGTTTCACCAAGGGAGGTGAACAAAAAAGGGTCGGGACCATCATCAAATTACTGCACGAGTGATGTGTGATATACTTTTTCTGACTGCTGATTTGTCATGAATTGATTTAACAGTATTTCTTTAAT